CCAACATTTTATAGCAGCTCAGATGTGTGAATCTTCTTCAGAAAGCAAAGTTTTCTTATTAATTTAATGGTTCGTTCTTGAAAATAAAATTTTTAATGCAAGAGCGAAAGGCATTAAATATTGAAAGAGTCATTATACAAGATTTAAATAGGAGCTATTTCCAATAAGAAATACGGTGAAAAGGTGGCTGTGGTGCATGCACTCAGGCCCGGGCATTTCAAGTTCGAATTACATAAATGTCCAACAAATAAAAACCAACCACACCTCAAGTGTCTTCCCCACCCTTCTTTTACTGCCACATTCAGCTACTGTGTGGCATGTTTCTCCGACACTGCACCTGCACGAGGTTGGCCAGAGAGGAGTCGAGTCCGTTTGGCTAGCAGCTTCCTCCGCGATGGATGGCCATTTGAGGAGGAGGAAGAGGTGCGTGTGTTGTGTGGCATCGTAGGCTTCAACAGGTCTCCTAGAGCATCAAACCTGGAGGACAAATGGATGTATATGTATAGTCAATAACTTTAACACAGGCTGGTAAAAGAATCATAAGGCACTTCACACCGGAGTACTTTCCCAGTATAGTTCCGATGTATTCAGAAAATGTGCTTTCACCACCAAAGAAATCCAAGAATAGAACTTAGTTCATGAGAACACCTTTCCACCCCCTTTTCAGTCCCTGCTAAAGAGCAGGGACTTTCATGGGAGAAAAAGGTTCCCATTTCTGATTGGCTGGGCGGATTGCAAATCATGCCCCGTAAAACTCCCAAAAAGTTTTGTGAAGCCGCCATTTTATTTATTAGCATTAGCATTAGCCCAGCGCACCAACGCAGAGAGACTAACTTATGGCAACACAAAATAAAACATGGGAGCAGTGGAGATGAGGAGGTGTCAGCGTTCTGGAGATTTACTCAGAAGTCCCCAACTCCGGGGACTTCGGGTGGCAGTATACGCCGTGAAGTTGTTTGCGGCCTGCCAGTAAACCCAAAGCAGAAGAACAAGAAGTGACGTCAGCGGCTTCATTTTCCTAATCCTCCCTCAGGCACTTATTCCGGTGTGAACGTGATCGGCTCTTTAGTTCATCAGAACTAAAGAGTTCTGATGAACTAAGTACGGCAAAGTACTTGGTGTGAAAGCGCCTATAGAGACAGAGTAGATGTTAGGATGTTAGAACAGCCCACAGGCGCATAGAGGAGGAGGAGGAGTTAGGAACAAACATATCAGATTATTCCACATCATATCTTTGTTATCCAAACTTGGAAAGGAAGGAGTTGTCAAAAACCAATTTGTTTGTAACCGAAACTAAAGGCTTTTAAAACAAAGCTAACGTTAGCTTTAATAGCTTCTTAGCATCGGGAAAATCCATTGAAGGAGCTGTTGTGTGTCTTTTTTTAAAACACTGGCTACTTGATATGATCTTGAGGGCTAAATCTGCTGCTGTTAGCTGCATATTTGCTAAATGAAGATAATTAAATCGCAGACCTAACAAAACATACCATACATGGGGCGGGGGCTTCATGAGCGATCAAACTAATCAAACCGTGTGTCTGGAAAACGAATGTTGGAAATAAGGAAAGTTTTAGAGTAACTTATTTCAAAACGCAATAAATATTAAATCTAATGAGAGCCGACTTCACTTCCTGCCTAATTTACCACACTTTTCACTCACATTTGGACCACTTTAATAAAGCCGCGCTGGACGGTTTTGATCTGAGAATATTGCTGAGCTGTGCCTCCTTAATGTGAACTATCAAATCTCACTGATAGTCTCGCTGTTAATTGAATTTGTCCTGCTCTATTTTTAGCATTTACCTACATGGGGCAGATATTCCTGTTTAATGCAGACATACTGAACCAAGACTCCTTTATCACGGTCATGCAGCAGCCAGCCCATAATCCCTGACTCAGTAGCTCGCGGCGCTTGTTTCTAGATGATTGATTTATCTGTTTGTAGCTGCCATGTACTCACTCTGACTGCTAACAGTGATTCGTTTTGAACATGTGTGTTTGTGTTTTATTAGACAGTGTCCACGCCCTTAGGTGTGTGTGTGTGTGTGTGTGTGTGTGTGTGTGTGTGTGTGTGTGTGTGTGTGTGTGTGTGTGTGAACAACTCCCAATGTCAACATTCATCCGGCTAATGGCTCAGTATTAATCTAGTAGAAACCTGGAGGTGTGACAGTGTGTGTTTATTATACACATGTGTGTCAGGTTTGAAAAGGGGTTAACATGGCGAGTAGTAAAAAGGTTTTTTAACAATTACTGGATTATTGTTTCCTCACATCATCCGAACAATGAATACGTAGAGACACGTAGCAGAAATAAAATGAGGTCAGGCACAACGCGACGATACAAAGCTGAAACGAAACAAGAATGTGCAAAATGCAAATAGAAGAAAAACCAATGTCTCCGCAGAACACAGAGTTGGAGAAAGGAAAATAGAAAGAGAGGCAACTGACTGGAGAAAAAGGGGGAGGAATAATATTTAGTTAGGAAGCGGCGTGCAGGTCTGACAGTGGTGCTGACACAAGAGGTTCAGAAAACACTTTTCCTGCTAACTTAGCAGATGGGAGAAAGGGAGGGAGAGGGAGAAGCAAACGGAGACAGAAAATAAGTCAAACTAAGAGAAGGAATTAAGAAAGTGGTTTAAAGAGAGGAATGACAATCTTTTTTAATTCTCTTCACTCTTATATCTCACACATTGTCTCCATGTTCATGTTGCGATAAAACACTTTGGCAATGTGGGTGATTCTTTGTTGGCTTCTCAGCGTTGTAAAGCCCACTCAATTTAATTGAACCAACGGAAAAGAGGCAGAGATAAAAGGGAGGAAGAAAAGAAACAAGCTCTCTCAGTAGATCACACACACAAGGCAAAGAGAAGAAGGAGGAAGGAGGAGGAGGAGGAGGAAGGGGATGAAGCGAGCACTGAGCGTTTTATTGAACCGGAGGATAATGCTATCAGTGTTAGCTTAGGTGTTTCAGCAGAGGATTTGACAGTCAATAGAATTTAAGATCAAAGGAAAGCGAGGAAGTAAATCCATGTCGTGTTCAATCCTTAAAACACGGGAAGACAGAAATGTGTTACTTACTACCATTTAGTTGGATTATCTTAAGCTCTTTGCAGAATACATGACATGCAGGATTCATCTATTTGTTGCCATTCCTAACAGGTTTATAGACACAAAAAGACCTGTGCACAATTGTTGACACCTGGTGTAGGAATGGAAGCAAAGCCAGAGTCTTCTCCGTTTTATCACAGGCTGCAATAGTGATGGATTATACAACATGTTTTCGATGTTTCTACGCCTGTCAAAAGCTGCCGTCCTAACAATTTTTGAGCAGATATACTACTCGAAAATCTTTTCCTGAAATCAAGGTCTCGTTTTCGAAAAGGTAGACACAGGCAGGCTTTCGGGGGAGATAGAGAATTATACCAGATACGGCAAATGTATTTCTAGAAACATGAATTTGCTCAAATAGAATAAATAACGTCAGCAATTTTCTATTGAAAACGCAAGCCAAACTGCATCCTTGAGTCTTGGTAAAAAATTGACAATTAATATAATTGTAGGGGTTGTCAAAAATGAGGGCAGAGAACAGATCTAAATGAATAATCTTCCATAACACAAACATGAGTGGTGCATCATTAAAACTTAAAGGGGCCCTATTTTGTTAATTTTCAGGTTCACATCAGTATGTAGTGTCTCTACTTTAAAGAGTCCTCTCCTGCTGATGTTCAGGTGTATATCAGTATGTAGTGTCTCTACTTTAAAGAGTCCTCTCCTGCTGATGTTCAGGTGTATATCAGTATGTAGTGTCTCTACTTTAAAGAGTCCTCTCCTGCTGATGTTCAGGTGTATATCAGTATGTAGTGTCTCTACTTTAAAGAGTCCTCTCCTGCTGATGTTCAGGTGTATATCAGTATGTAGTGTCTCTACTTTAAAGAGTCCTCTCCTGCTGATGTTCAGGTGTATATCAGTATGTAGTGTCTCTACTTTAAAGAGTCCTCTCCTGCTGATGTTCAGGTGTATATCAGTATGTAGTGNTGGGGCGCACCCCACATACTCAGCTCTGGGGCGCACCCCACATACTCAGCTCTGGGGCGCACCCCACATACTCAGCTCTGGGGCGCACCCCACATACTCAGCTCTGGGGCGCACCCCACATACTCAGCTCTGGGGCGCACCCCACATACTCAGCTCTGGGGCGCACCCCACATACTCAGCTCTGGGGCGCACCCCACGTACTCAGCTCTGGGGCGCACCCCACGTACTCAGCTCTGGGGCGCACCCCACGTACTCAGCTCTGCTGCTCCTTCCACAAATGCATGTTCCTCACAAATGTGGTACCATTGGAAAGGTAAGAAAACAGGCTTTCCTACAGTATAAGATGTATTGCCAAAAAGCATCGTTACAACATAGAAATCATCTACCAAACACAAATTGCCTAACTGTGCAATATATACCTGGCCGCTAAACCCTCAGAACTGTTACAGGATGTGTATTTTGTAAATTGTGTAACTTTTTTTATTATAATTTTTGTATCTTTAATACTTTTGTATGCATGCTTCTTAGTTAACATAAGGCTGTCTTTGGCTCTTTTCTGCTGCAACATTGTAAATGTCCTAATAAAAGGTATTCTGATTCTGATAAAAAATGCAACAGTTTTGCTCGATTTAGTTTAATTTTGTATTCCCCCTTGAGGCGCTTTATGCATTTTAAAAGACAAACAACGCTGCAGAAACATGAATGTGAATCTGTGAGCAGCTGCGATTACATTCAACAGTCTGAAGAAGCACTTTTTCACAAACTTAATCAGTTAAATGCAACTGAATACGTCATAATAAATTAGATTTGGACTTTTAGTAGCACAAGTTGCATGTTGGCAGACTATAGCTGTCGACCGGAGCTTTAAGTATAACAGAGAGGACGATTTGCTTTGTCAGTAGATAAATCCTCCAGCCTAAAGCACAGCACAACACTGAGAGGTATCATCACGGTGAAGATACTTACTTCTTGGCTGGGGTCCCAGCAAACTGCAGATCTGAGGGGAGGGGGGGCAGAAGCACAGAGATAGTTTTAAAAAGAGAAAATAAAAGACAAGTATTTCTGCTTTAGAATCAATTTTCCCTCTAATTATACATAATTTCCGTTATGTAACATCATCTATTCACTCGTATGTAACACTCAGATGTGTGAACTTCTTCAGAAAGCAAAGTTTTCTATTAATTTAATGGTTCGTTCTTGAAAATAAAATGTTTTAATGCAAGAGCGAAAAGGCATTAAATATTGAAAGAGTCATTATACAAGATTTAATAGGAGCTATTTCATAAGAAATACGGTGAAAAGGTGTGTGTGCATGCACTCAAGGCCGGGCATTTCAAGTGTCGAATTACATAAATGTCCAACAAATAAAATACCACAACTCAAGTGTCTTCCCCCCCCTTCTTTTGCTGCCACATTCAGCTACTTGTGTGCATGTTTCTCGACACTCACTGCCCACGAGGTTGGCCAGAGAGGAGTCGAGGTCGTTGGCTAGCAGCTTCCCTCCGTGATGGATGGCCATTTGAGGAGGAGGAAGAGGTGCGTTGTGTGTGGGCATCGTAGGCTTCAACAGGTCTCCTAGAGCATCAAAACCTGGAGGACAAATGGATGTATATGTATAAGTCAATAACTTTACACAGGCTGGTAAAAGCATCATAAGGCACTTTCACACCGGAGTACTTTTCCCAGTATAGTTCCGATGTAGTTCAGAAAATGTGCTTTCACACCAAAGAAATCCAGAACTAGAACTTAGTTCATGAGAACCTTTTCACCCCCTTTTCAGTCCCTGCTAGAGAGCAGGGACTTTCATGGGAGAAAAAGGTTCCCATTTCTGATGGGCTGGGCGGATTGCAAATCACGCCCCGTAAAACTCCCAAAAAGTTTTGTGAAGCCGCCATTTTATTTGCTCACATTAGCATTATTAGCATTAGCATTAACCAACGCAGAGAGACTAACTTATGGCAACACAAAAGAAAACATGGGAGCGGTGGAGATGAGGAGGTGTCGGCGTTCTGGCGATTTACTCAGAAGCCAGTCCCCAACTCTGGGGACTTCCGGCCGGGGACTTCGGGTGGCAGTATACGCCGTGAAGTTGTTTGCGGCCTGCCAGTAAACCCAAAGCAGAAGAAGAAGAAGTGACGTCAGCGGCTTCATTTGCCTAATCCTCCCTCAGGAACTAATTCCGGTGTGAACGCAATCTGCTTTAGTTCATCAGAACTAAAAGAGTTCTCATGAACTAAGTTCTCATGAACCTTTGTGGGAAAAGTACTTGGTGTGAACGCGCCTATTGATTGGACGGTTTAGCCGCAATGCACGTGGGATTTGGTGTTAATGCGATGTGAAATCCGAATAAAAAAAATAATAATAATAATACTTTATTCCGAGTGTGCTTGCTTTTCTCTTTGAAAGTCATCATATAACTGCATTGTAATACACGGTTCGGCTGCATTAAATATTACACATCTGCCATAGTTCTCTATTTATAGAGCCCTGCTGAGAAGACTTCTAGACAAACAGGAACAACTGCCGCCAAAACTGAAAACGTGACGTGGATCATAAATATATAAGCAATGAAACAACATCTTACATTTCTTTTCACACAATAGAGTCTTGCCGTGATACCGGGTTGTACATAATACAGTTTATGGAGTTAACTAGTAATTGTAAAGGAATACAATTTTACAGGAACCCTCAGAACCATGGCGCTTATTCATAATGGCCAATATTAAGCCAGATGACCAAACAAAGAGCCAGACTATACATGGTAATGGCACTAGGTCCGAGTTAACTGCAGCCAAAGATCAATACAACGGGAAAAAAAGTATAACATTGTTGAAATACTTATTGTAGTTTAGTCGTATAATCGCTTTCCAGTCCTCCAATGTTAACTACAGTTATCGACAGTCTGTTAATTAATGAGACGCATATTGCCAACATTTATGAAGTGAACTGCTTTCACACCCACAGGCGAGGCAAACTGTATCGAATTTTGTTTATTATGTCAGGAGCCATTAATTTGCTGCCAGCTTTATATTGAATATGTTATCAGAAACCTGGCAAGCGAGAGAGAGGGAAGACAAAATGAGCCAATTTAATACTGTTTGGCAAGCGGAGTCAGATTTTACCGCTCGCTGGGCCTTTGTTTGACTGGAAATCTCTGAAATGAGTTTGAGGGACCTCATTTTCCTGAGGTGTTTGCACCTGTACCTTAATGTTATCTACTGTGCTTTCATTAGTGCTCCATGATGCAGAACTGCAATTGGCGTGGGATAATTTTCTGTTTTCTGATAAGGAAGCTCATTGTCTGTTAACATGCTCTGAGCCAAAGGCAAAACGCCTTTCAGTTATAAATGACAAACTCGATTTCAGCTCACGTAAACATTCCTTTCAATTCAAGCTAATGGTGGATAGAGGTCACGGTCATTTTATGAAATAGATGCTTGTAAAGGGAACCTATTATGCACATTTTCAGGTTCATATTTATATTTTGTGTCTCTACTGTGACATGTTTACACACTTTAATGTTCAAAAAGGTCTTTATTTGTTTCATTCTGAGGAAAAATATAATAAATGTCCCACCTCTTAGCCTATCATGAACATTGTGTTGGAGCATTAGCATGGTTACATAGTGATGTCACTATGTTACAGACGTAAACAGTGTGTGTGTGTGTGTGTGTGTGTGTGTGTGTGTGTGTGTGTGTGTGTGTGTGTGTGTGTGTGTGTGTGTGTGTGTTTGTTGACCAATTATGATCCTATCTAGTTTTATCCAGAAAAGCATTGTGTGCCTGTTTGCAGATTCTGTGCTCTTCAACCAAAGGTTAAATATAGGAAGAATTGTCTGAATCAGTCCTCATAATCGATCTTGGTCAGACACTGTGTGTGTTTCCTTTACAGCACTTGTACGGGGGAAATGGAAATGGATGTCAACAAGGATTTAAAACTGAACCTGCAGCACTTGTTCCCAGCTTCCTTAACGACCTCTACTTGAAAACATAAAAGGTTTCCCTTTTGGTTGCAACACCTCCTCTGTCTCCTTCTCTCTGGGAGCAGTGCAAGCTAAAAAAATATTAATGCTGACTGTTATGATCATTCTACTGTGCAAAGCAATCTGCTGCAGGCCTGGAGAAAGCAGAAACAAACATGGGGACTGTTTGTCTGTCTATATAATGTCTGTATGGATCATGGCAGGATAAATCTGTTAGGGGCCCTGGTAACAAAATATGCTGCAGGGGTGTATTGTGTGCAAATTGTGTGTGTACACAGTTTCTGGAACAATAGTTTGTGATTATGTGATTAAACACGACTAATTGCATTACTTATGCATCATCTGGGCACAATATAAACTAACATAATCAACGTCATTATCAGGCTATCAAAACTAGACTTCGACATGGTGCTGCATCATAAAGTAACGGCCGTAAACACCTGCAGTCTCTCAAAAAAGATGTGGTTCCGGTGCATTGACTAGTTGGCAAACGAGCTAACATGCAAGCCAAGATGCTAGCGCTAGTCACAAAAGCTCCACATGAATAAATAAATGAATAAAGCTTTTTTGTTCTGTCTTCCTTCTCTGTACCGGGCTTGAGTGGGGATAAAAGCTCAGTTAGGGAACTCATTAGCTCAGCCACTAATGGACAATAACTTCACAAACGATGTATTTGTATCATCAAGTCCTGTCTCATAAGTGTCTAGAAATGTTCGTTTTTTCCTTGAGCAGTTTATCCTCCAACAGAGGAGGTTAGATTAAAGTGGCTGCTGCAACACAGCTAATAAACCACAGTAATAGCTTCTTCCATTTTGGACTTTAACATCAGAGGAAGAGAGAAAGAAAGCAGACAGGTGGCAGAGAACAAGGAGATGCATAAAAAGAGGAGACAGAGTAGGAGAAGAAAGGACGAGTGAGGGAGTTTGCTAAGCTTTTTAGCATTAATTGAGTCAATCTGGAGGGTAAATATCTAATGTTTTAGATGTTGACTAGAGTTATTTGCAGGGAAATGTAAACTCATGTTTGGCTCCTGAAAAAAGGAATGTGAGAGGGACACAATCCTCACACTATCCATTATCTTCCACATCTGTGGTCAGAGTGGTGTGAGCCACAGGAGCCAGAGCTCCCCCTACAGGCAGGTTTGGGCTCTGCAGCGCTGCATGTGGGAAATGTAAAGGCAGATGCATGTAGGCAGTGGTGTAAGAAGTACTCAGATATCTTACTGGTAAAAATAGCAATACTCAATTGAACAATGCTCTGTTTCAAGTGAAAGTTCAGCGATCAAAGAAGTAAGCAAAAGTATTGTCATTCAAAAGTACCAGAAGTAAAAGTTATTGGTAATAAAGGACCATTTCAGAATATATCAAATTACTGAATGATGGCTATTGGAGCACTAATGTGTTCAGAAGATCTGCTAACTGTGGAGCTAATTTGAGTGACTTCTGGATACATTGACCTATAATCATATGTCAAAGTTGACTTATTAGTTGATTTATGTTTTGTATTAGCTAGCAAATGGAAACTGTAAAGCAACTAAAGCTGTCAAATATATAAATTGGAGTGAAAGTAGCATAAAATGTAAATACTGTAAAAGTGATATTTAAGTACATTTCTTGAGAAAGTTTACTTTATGTGAGCAATGACAATGCACAATGAGTATTGAAATATTCAAGACGTGTAAGATTATAACGTAAATATGAATGATGGTGATCAAATTAGAAACAATAAAATGCAGCACAACAATTTATTTATGTTAATTATATCGATCAGCTTCAGATAAGGTTGTGATGGTTCCACATCTACAAAACACAAGTCATCATCTGCTTTGCCTGTCGGTCGTCAGGTCACTGATGTCAACTCTGATTATCCACACGGTCCTGATGTAGCAGATTAGCTGCTTTTTTCTAAATTAATCCCTCAATTGTTGGTTATTTATTTATTATGCTCACGCTTATTCAATGTCATAGACAAAAATGGTAGGTCCCAGGGGGTTTTAAACAAAAAATATTAAAGGATGAAAATCCATTAATAATGTCCATAATACATAAGCATAAGCTAGGCTTAGGGGGTAGCTTTTAAATTAATCTTTAAAGATATCAACACTTTCAGCTGCTCATAGATCCTCCGGCAGGCTGTTCTAATAGCTCGAAGCACAAAAACTAAAAGCTTTTTGCTTTTTGGAACAACTTGTGTGAGGGGACCTGGGGGCTTGTTTCATCACAAATGCAGCCTACAATTTGCAACATGAGATAATACCCTCCTATTATACTGTTCAAAACAAATTCAATATTCGGGACGCATGCATGAGCATGCAAGGGACGTGTAGTGGTTGAAAACATTTTCCACAATTTGCGGGTGGCAATCATTTGCAAACTGCACACCCTGGGTTACACTTTGCAGGCATGTTAGACAAATAAGCTGGTTCAAAGCTACTGTGTATAGTGCTTTATAAACTGGTCATATTATTTCAAAGAAGCAATATCAAACTGAAAGGCAACCACTCTGTAAAGACTTTAAAATGCTTGCTCTCCATTTGGTCTCAAACAACACTCAGCAGGCCGCACACTTCTGAATCAATTGTTACTGATTCATGATTGAAGCTCGAGTGCTACATGCCAGACAGCTAAGATATCACAGCTGGACTATGAATGAATGTCGTGACAATGTTCCTTCAGTAAACACATCCCGAAAACTGCTGTGCAAACTCAAAGGGAAGCGTAAAGTAATGAGAAAGTAATGACTCATATCTCCATTCAGCCTTTCCTCTGAATAAAGCTGACTCACTGTGTCACTTCTAAAAGACTACTCGTAGATAGCTTAGATGACGAGTTAGAAAAGGGCAGGGTATCAAAGCCACCATGCAATCATCTTTCTCTAAAGTAGTTCTCCAATTAAACACACAGAGACACGACTCAAACTGAGGTGCTGTCTGCAGCGGCTGGAAGAGTCAAGGGGATATAGCTAAGGTATCATTAGTACCGGTACATAAACAGTTTTGATCTTTAGGAAAGAAAAATCCCGCAGGCTGCAGAGAATTATTAAGGGTTGGGAAGGTTTATCTAAGGGTAAAATTATACTTGGAATACAATGATTTCAAAGCCTCCTATCCTTGTGTCTGTGAGTGATTCAGAATATTCTTTTCTTTTATCATTGATCCTCTCATCTCTCTGCAGATTTTCAGAAGCTTTGGAGGTTTCTGGTACCTGATGATGCAACCGCTGGCAGACAGAAATGGCACCTGTGAAAATCCCCACTGGGATACTGCGTAAGTGTGAGTGTGTGTGTGAGTGTGTGAGTGTGAGTGTGAGTGTGAGTGTGTGTGTGTGTGTGTGTGTGTGTGTGTGTGTGTGTGTGTGTGTGTGTGTGTGTGTGTGTGTGTGTGTGTGTGTGTGTGTGTCATTCAGAGTTGATTTCATCCTGTTCTTTGACGGTTAGCAATCACAGGGCGGAAGGGAGCTCTGATTGTGATGAACCTGTTTCCTGCTGTTCTCTCTGTCAATCCAATCGCTGCGTTTCCTTTCCAGCGGGATGACTACGGTCCAGTTTGCCGTCCACAAATGTTCTTGGACACAAATACTGCCACTTCTTTAGTGCCTCACACTGCCAATGCTTGCCAAGCCGGTGGCGTTATACATTTTCCTGGGCCAATATCCTGTCACAAAGCCCTACACGTATTGGGATGAGTACTGCACAGATCAACATACATTAACTCTAGTTACAGTTTTTGTTTTTGGTGCTGCCATGTTGTGCTTTCGAGCTCTGTCAATGCAATTAGCTTAGTCAAGCAGACAAATTAACTTGGGGTAGAAAAGTAATTATGTTAGAAAAGGGCAACTGGGCTTGCTTCGGGCATCAGAGTGACTTCTGGTATTCATAAAGGAACATTGGGATCCTGTGGACGTCATTAAATCCATCCTCCACAAAACCATATTGTGTTAAATGAATCAGTGTGACCATTTCTACATCCAATCTGTAGCCGACAGAACCCAAAGGACTCTCCTCAGCAGCTGAAATCTGTCAGCAGTGACTAATTATAGAGGGTAAGGTGTGGGGATGTCCAAATCCTGAAATAGGAAAGAAAATGTGTGAGCAATGCTTAATAATCTAGTTTAAAGAATCAAATCAACAGCAGCACTACGCGGAAATCTAACTTTCAAATGTTGAATAATGCTTGTTTCTTTCTGGATATAACTGGTTATTTATTGAAAAAAAGTATTCTCATTCTCCTTAACACAGCACAGGAAAAAAAGCTATGTTCACATGCCCCCTTGTGGATCACATCTGTCACATCTGATGATTTCTTTAAACATATTATTAATTTTATGGCATGTTTTGACACCTTATTAATTAAGTGAAATGTCTACCATGGATCTGTTTGGAGCCCCTTTTCTGGGACTGTTAATAAATGCATTGTTGCTCCGTTGGTTTATTTAAAAAAAAACAGTGTTTATCATCATTTAGTTATTTTGCAACATGAAGCCTCTTATAAATGTTGAATTAATGTAGTTGTTTTAAGCTTATAGATTGTTGGACATCAGTCTCAATTCTAAAGTGCCATCTGAGTTTTCCTTTAGTAAACAATCTCTTTATCTGCATTTACTATTTTGGATCTTCAGTCATTATGTGTAGTTGTTTGGCCAAATGAACCAAATAATAATCAAACATAAAAACGAATTTCTGTATATTGAGTCATCTCTGTGTGTGACTAGCAGAGTCACCAGGCTGCTCTGTATCTGAATCACTGCTTTTGCAAACTGTGTGTTGCCACCATCTGGTTTCATATTATTTATATTTCACGTCACTGGAGGAGGTTCAGGCTGTCATACATCTCTGTAGTTCTGTGTTTTTAATAACTGTGTTTGGTTGGTGGTGGGTCACTGCCTTCTGTCTTTGAGGAACCAATTTCCTCTGCCGATCTGAGATAAAGATGAATTAAAATTCTGATATTTGAATAGATGTTTAAACTGGGAACGTGTGTTTCAACTAATGTACACATCGTTAAATAATTGTATTTTCAGCAGTGTGTGAACAATAGGCTATATAAGTAGTAGTATTCGCCAAATTAAATGTTCCCAACTTGTGTGTAAGTGGGCTTTTTAACCCCTCTGAATTACACTTTATAAGAATTTTTGTGAACTCAAATAAATAAGGTCCAGGGAAAAAACGTCAAGCTGTTAAACCCTCATTTATATACCAGAATACACACATAACACAGCACTCAGATACACAAGTGCTTAGGGTCCGCAGCTAAATATTCTGTGAAATCTGTTTTAGCATGGTGAACTGGGCAGCATAGTGAAATTAACTTTGTCATACTTGTTTTGTTTGTAGCAGAACTCTTCATCCAGAGGAGGGCAGCATTTTGTCCGTGCTAAAAATAGCTCAGCCCATGTGGATAACTGGAAATTGTTTGTGTTTAACCAGGAAGTCAGCCTCTGTCAAGTTACATACCCTGACCCTGACATCACTTCTGATTTTCCTTTCAAAGTAAAAGTCTTACAGAAAAGGATCGCAGCAAAGGTCTCAGAGCCTTAAAGAAATACATTTAGACTATTGCACAAATCGTCAGAATATTCTTTTAAATCACAAAGAAGCAGATTTTTTTTTTTTACATGTAAATGTAATGTATGCTATTTCTTTCTGTAACAAACACTGGGACACTAGCCTAATAAAAGACACGTGTCTTATCAGTAGGGGACAAACGGGTATTAGATGATAAAGATATTTAACTCTTTACATTCACCTTCAACATGTAGTTGAATTCACAAACAGCAGAAACGTTGTTTGTATTATTTGCATTTAATGCTAAACATTATAATAGTGAGAATTAGTTTAGGGTAAAAACTATGATGGTGAAGGTATATTTTATAAAGTACTGTACTTAAGTATAATGTTGACATATTTGTACTTGACTTCAGTATATTTATTCTATTCTTTTATAGACATTTTATATTGCATGGTATCGATTTACTTTTTAAATGTACATGATACACATTGCTGTACTACTCTACCCATATCATACGCTACCCATACCAAACTCTACCCATATCATTATACTCCACATTGACCAGACTACATAAAAATGCTATCTTTTGATAAAAACTGAAAAATATATTTTGTTATAACAAAATAACACTGTGTAACACTAACAACCAAATAATTCTGATGATTACATTTCACTGGTAATACTGCTATTGTTTTACTTATGCAACAATAATGAATATTGGAAATGTACAGAGTATTTTTTGATTAGGATATATCTTCTTTTACAACGCCTAAGTAAATACACCTGAGTATCGCTTCTTCCACAACTGGGTTTAACGTCAATGTCACAACCTTTATTTTGAAAACACAAGCACACCGGAAGTTAAAACGGTGTGTTGCTAGCTTTATGCTAACCTGTGCGCAGTAGTGACAGCTCTGTATTTTCTCAACACTTCCCCCTATCCTAGAACTACTGTCAACCTGGACTTTCTGACCACACCCGCAGAAGTATCTCCTGGATGTTAACAGTTAAGTAAACCTCAGTTTCTTTATTTAACTAGATATTGGATAATGCATGATGTGAACTAAGTGTATTGCTAGCTGTGTGGTACTTTTATATGCAAATGTCATGGAGAGCTAATTTAGCCATTTTCATTGTAAACATTAAAACCATAGGCCTATATACTTTGTTGTTTTAACTTGTATTATTTGTTTTATAGTACAAGTTATTATATGCAAATAACAATTGTTGCCAATTGCCAATTGTGTTAAAGTGCATCCAGATGTATTCAGTTTCTGATATAATCATTGTGGCGTGTTTTGCACCTTTGCCCTCATTTTTATATTTGTATTGCTTAGGGCAATACTTCCGGGTTTGCTTCTCAGCAATTTCTTTTTTTCCGTGTGCGTCAGTGTGGGTGTGTCCCACTGTACATATTGTCGCGTTATGGTCTCACGTTGAAGTTTACAACATATTGACATTTCAACTGCACCACAAGTATTAAGCAGATGAAAAACATTGTATTATATGATTCATTTTCCAATAAAGTATTTTGGTGTGTTCTCTCCTCAAAGGCATGGCTGTGTTTGAGAACTGCTCTGTGCTGTTTGAGCTGAAAACATTGCCTTACAAGGAGAAGAAGGAGCTGAAATCAGCAATAACAGAGAATGGAGGCAACATTTCCTTTGTTGTCAATAAAAAGGTCAGAGGGTGTGATCACTTCCTATACTGCCAGGCTATGGTCTTTTGATTAAAAACGAAATATCTTCCTCCAACATGATTAATGTACATAAAACGATGTCCTTGTGTTGCAATGTTAAAGAACAATCATGTATTGCTCTCTGCCTACATTTCCCACAGTGCTCTCTGATAGTGACCAATGATGTATCCAACCTGAGCTCCAACAGGCTGCATAGCATCCAGAAATACCAAACGCCTGTGGTCGGGGTGGAATATGTGAACAGCTGTCTGGAGAAGGGACTTCTTCTGCCTGTGGATGAATACAAGCAGGACATTTCCTCTCCCTCTGTGTTCTCTCCTCCTCTTCCCCCCTCCTCACCAAGGCGTAGTCCAATCTCACATCAAGGTATTATCAGCATAGGTAGTAATTGTTAACAAAAAGCATACTAAGCACATGTTATATGCAACAAAACATCACACTTAAAACAGGGTTCGAAAATTGGCTGCACACAGAACTGATTAGGTTTTGGTGGTCAGATGTCACGTTCACTGTGACCTCACACAGCCCTTTTTGATCTTCCTAATTAATATGCTTATTATGACAATTTCCCACAAATGTGTAATTGGATAAAACTAGGAAGTGACGGCATTTTATACCGACATGGATGCAACTTTACTGGTTGCATAATGCATACAACCTTTAGGGAGTCATTCTATTTTTTTCTTTTAATGTAGACACAATGTTTTAAACAATATAAATACTCTTTATTAGGTTTTCTTTTAAGGTCCACTAGAAGTAAAGTAGTATATCATGATTCCATGGGATCCTTGAAACTTTAAAATTAGCAAGAAAATATAAAGGCCTTGAATCTTTGTTTTTTTGCTGTCCAGAAACACTGCAACCCTAAATGCTTATAGCAGGGGTTTCAAACTCAAGGCCCGGGGGCCAAATCCGGCCCGCGACTTCATTTCATCCGGCCCCACAAGAGCTTGCAAAGAATATCATATGTTTATTATACAGTTACATGCCGCTTTACAGAAGCACATTGCCCATAATATATTAAATATTTATATATGTATATTTATATAGTCTTGAAATTACAACCGGCCCTTTGAGTGCAACCTTGATGCTGATGTGGCCCGTGATGACATTTAGTTTGACACCCCTGGCTTATAGCAACAGTCGAATATAAAATCAAATCAGTTATTGTGGATTCTCAAGTTACCATTTGATGTACTGCAGCTTAATTGATCCCCATTGGACAATAATGTATTGTTACTGCAGCGGTGAATGGAAGATGGTGAAGGCCATAGACCCCTAACTCTGATATTTGGGAATGCACCTTATTTACGTGTCGGTCTATAAAGCTTTTATATTACATTTGCGTTGTTTTAAAATGTGCAGTGTGTGCAGTGTGGGTTTTTATGCACTGTATATTTATACAGAGGTGAAGGACTATAATGATTACTTTTCCGCTTTTACTGTCTCTTCCGGAGACTAACTCAATCAGAATCATAACTCCAGCCGGTTCCAACACATTCCTCCGAGTCGCTTATCTGCTCTCAGGAACAGACACAAGTCGGAGCTTATTGTCGATCAATTGTTATGTCCTCCCACTTCAGTTTCCACATTGATAGATGGACATTGTGATTAAAAAGTACAGTTGAGACTCAGTCAGCAGGTTTATCTTCATAGCAGCCTTTTTCTTTCATAACCTTCAGCAGTGTTGTAAACCTAGAGCTTTGTGAAGTGTTTTCAGTAGGAGCCCACAATGCCTACATAGCCTGTGTGTACTCAGGTTTAAATGCATACCAGTTCTAATGCTTTTATTGCAGAACAAGTAAAGTGAGGTGTCGTTCATGTGTATTTTCTTGTGTCTTTTGTATTTTAGTGTCCAAAGTACCATCGAGCAACAGCGAGCTCTCTAAGAGGGAAGAGACTTCAGGGAAAAGCAGAAACATCTTGGAAAAGTTCAGGTGTGAACATCGACCCTTCTCAAGAAGTTTGTTATATTAACCCTGGGGTATCAGTGGTGAAGCTGAACATGACATAGTTACATTTTATGAATCAAACAGATGGTTAAAGGTTCAGTCATGCAGACCTTTTGTTATGATTGTAAATATGTGTGACCTTTGCACTGGTTAGACCTTTCTCAAGCTGATCGGTGACCTATTCCTGTCTCTCTTAGCAGTTCCTGCTCCATCAGACAAAGAATTAAAAGATAGTACAGAGAATAGCTTTGTGCACTCAGGCTCAACACTTTTTGTCACGAAGAATAATTTCCATGAATAAATAGAAAACTATCCTTCTTTTAAATCTCAATGTTCTCCGTGTGAAGATGCATTTGTTGCTGCTCCCATACTTCGTAACATGGTGGTAGAAACAACTGGATGAAAAACACCACAAGAGTTCAAACATTACGTCGACATTTCTGCAAACATTTGTATTCCCTAATAACATGTATGCATGAATTCATCTTCCTTTTCATTCAATTCCACAGAATTTATACTGAAACTGATACGACTCTTCCAAAGTACCCGGATCATTTTCAAGTGGCAAAGTATTCAATCTTTGAAAAGGTAAAGCTGCAGTTTATTTTAAGCTTTTCTTATATTGCTTCGACAGTAAATGTGTTTTGTTAATAGCCTACATTTCTCTGCAGATAAACAGCAGGACGTGGTGTGTGCTGGAGCTTCAGAGTTACAGAGGAGAGACAGGATGCCGGTACCGGGTAGTCAGGTACTGGAAGGACGATATCGAAGCCAAGGTATGAAATATTTTATATAACACTGCTTTGCTGAGCTAATAAATGACTTAATTTACTTTTTAGACATTGATTAATTTCATTCAACTTCATAAACTGCACACAATTCATATCACCATTTTTTATTTCTAAACTTCCTGCCTTCCCTTCATTTTTCAAGCTGTTTGTAATTGTATAGTAATTGACTGTTTCCCTAGACATACTAAATTATTTAAATATTAGTTTTGAGTTGCTATACATGTTATTTGACTAGTGATTCTGTCTCTGTTATTCAACGTTTTTTTTCATGTTGCTTTAAATGCAGATTAAAATGCTGGACATTTCATTTTTCTGGCTTTATGACCCAGTTATAATATATTCTCCTTTATGTCTTAAAACAAGCTGTCTATTGTAATATGATGTTAAAGTTAACTGAAGTTAAAGAATCTGAGAAACCGAAAAGACCCTGAGCTGAGTAAACATCAGCGAAACAAAACAAATCAATTCCAGCGATCACCAGGAGACTAAGATGGACACTTTTTTTATAACACGTCACATTACATAAACAAAAGGAGCAAATAACTTGTACAGAGTACCATAAAATCAACATTTGGGACTCGATCAGACTTCAGTTATAGAGTAACTTGAACATTGTAAAAAGATCAAAACCCATATCTGTGTTTGTGCTGACAGAAGGCGGCAGTGAGGGATATGCTGGTGCACCTGTCCACCTCAGAGGAAGCTCTGGAGGTCTACAAGACCCTGAGAGAGACCCTGCAGGCTGAGGGTCTGCAGCTGAGGAACAACACCCGCCCACAGGCCCCAGACCTCGGCTCCGACCCCCTCCGGCTGGTGGGACATTACATTTCATTTGGCAGATGCTTTTATCCAAAGCGACTTACAATAAATGCATTCAACCAGGAGGGTACTGAGAAACAAGAATTATGTAGGTATTAGTTTGAACTAAGCCAAACCATTCGAAGTGCTAGTACCTTAGCTTCAACTAAGCCAAACCATTTAAAGTGCTAGTACCTTAGCTTCAACTAAGCCAAACCATTTAAAGTGCTAGTACCTTAGCTTCAACTAAGCCAAACCATTAAAGTGCTAGTACCTTAGCTTCAACTAAGCCAAACCGTTTGAATTGCTAGTACAGTATTACAATATGTATAGAGGTTTCATTGGCCGAGGTGCAGTCAAAAAAGGTGTGTTTTCACTTACCCGTTACTTTATTCAAACCTTTAAGAAATTGTTATGACAAAAACAATAAAGATGCCAACAGTAAATAGAAGGATACTATTCTGTTCCTCTTGTTTGCTGTAAAAACTGTACTTTTATGTTCAGCTTCATGTTAGCATTAAGTATTCTTTAGTAACGGTATTTATTTCACATATAAATGTATTGCACCAGCATGTGGTGGATTAAATGTAATATGTTATGTTTATGTATACAATAATACATGCAAAGTCAATGAATTAACATCATTTCCTGTCAATATGCAACATTATTACATATTACAAAACTATTTAAAGGGCAAATAATTATTCATTTCATAGAAAGACATCCCAATAATACAAATGACAGTACAAAGTACATTATATTACACAATTGTCTTGATTTGTAAATACCTAGCCTTCATAAAATACAAAACTGTCTTTGTTTAAAATGAAATGAGAGGTGTTTTAGAGACTCTACTCCAAGCTTTATTGCCGCTTACATTTTCATGGCACAGATGTTCCTAATATACATCAGTAGAATCTTAGTTAGCGTTCTGAGTTTGTTAGGGTGAGTCACTGCTTCTGGACATTTGTGTAGCTGAATCCAATGAGCTGTTGATTTGATTTGCATGTTCCTTGTTTTACTGACAGCTGCTGCTGGAGGAGCAGCTGAACACAGGAAGCTTATCACAGGAAGTGGGAGTGTTTGTGGAGCTGCTGTGGACCGAGGCCCTGGGCTGCCTCGGCAACATCCTCACAGTCCCCATCAACAAGCTCAGCCTCAACGATGTAAGCTCCTCTCTGTGGATCATGCTGCTGTCAGACTACTGAGAGAAACATCAGCTGCCCCATCAGCCTTATTTGTTTGACCTTCCCGGAAAGACAGTCTAATGATGCATCTCATCACAATTATTCTTGTGCTCCATGTCTCGTGTGTGTGTGTGTGTGTCTGTGTGTGTAGGTGAGCAGGGTGGAGGGCTTGTTGCTCCAGGCTCAGAGGAAGCTGAAGGAGTCAGATTATAATGAGGTTGCGTCTCTTATTGATGAGGTTTACACCCTGCTGCCGCACAAAGAGCCACGCCCCTTTCCTCCCACTGCCAAGTTCATCTCTCAGAAACTGGATCTCTGTCAGGTAACACTGAACTCACACACAATCACTAACACAAACACTAACGGCCCGTCCACACAGCAGCGTTAAAAAGTCTTCCAACGCTTCTGCCCATTGACTTTGAATGGGGGTGACGTCACGTTGCCTCGCTTTTCGCCGAACTGCATTGTGGGGAAGCAAAGCGAAGATTTCCAGGATTTCCAGGATTTTCAGGATTCAAAAGTGAGTTGAAGCTGCGCTGAAGCTGGGAGAGACATACCGCAGTTCATTTCCTCATATTCCAAACGAGAAATTACGGTAGCACCCCACATACTCATCTCTGGGGCGCACCCCACATACTAAGCTCTGGGGCGCACCCCACATACTCAGCTTTGTGGGCGCACC